ACCTGTCACCAGAATCTTGTACATTGTTTGTGATAAATAATTTCTTATCCCTCACCCTTCTCCCACCCTCTACTTTTCTTAGTTTCTGGGAAGGAGATTTAAGTCTTTTTTTTTTTTTTTTTTTTTGGCCAGGGCTGGGTTTGAACCCGCCACCTCCAGGGTATATGGGGCCGGCGCTCTACTCCTTGAGCCACAGGCACCATTCCTACTTTTCTTAGTTTCTAATGTCATTATGACACATTATATATATCCTGTATATATATGTACACCCATCATTTTGCTTCCCCTTTAAGTGAGAACACGAGGTAATTTGTTTTTCCATTCCTGAGATATTTTACTTAGGATGATGGTCTCCAGCTTCATCCAAATTGCTGTAAAAGGGGTTATTTCATTGTGGTCTAAGCTCAACATTTACTTTCTTAAAATTTTCGTTGGTAGTAGGAAAAATGTTTATACTATTCAGAGAACTGTACTAGCTACTGTAATAATAGTTGTTATGGTTAACTTTATTCCTAAGTTTAATCGTATGTGTTATGATTTCAAAGAACTATGTTTGCCTTACTGCCACAAAAACATTTTTCTTACTTTCTTTCTTAACCAGGCATTAGATTTTTGTTGAGAACAGAGTTTTAACTCTGGAGAGATAACATGTTGGTCCAGTCTTCATTCATAGGTATAAATGTATACCAGGTCCTTGGCAAGTAGAAAAGTTGTAGAGGACAAGAATACTTGATTTGGGGAAGGGAGGAATGAGAGAAGAGTACAGAAATAGATGCTATGGACATACACTTCTTCATAATTTTGTAGTAATGGCTGTATAAACTCTGAAATTCAAACACCTCTTAATTTTCTTACTAGGACTAATTACTTACATTTTCCAAGACATATTTTATGATATTAAAGAGAGATACATGCCCAAATTTGCAAAGCAAAAATATTCAGTAAATATAGATGATGGTTATGTGAAAATAACAGAATAATAAGGCATATTTGATTAAATTAAACTAGATAACATTGTTAGTCAGGTGCTAGTGTTTAATGATAATAGCTACTCTTAAGGATCATAAGTAAAGCTGAGAGAGGTTCTGTAAGTTACCTGAGTTTATCTACTTAGTATTTATGTAAGTGGTACAGATTGTAGAGCAGAATTTTAACTCAGTTTTTAGCTAATATGTCCTATTGTAGCTCACATTTTGCTTTATTGGCTGACTTACCCTCTGGAATATGACTTTTATATTTTTGAAAGTACAATATGAAATAATTTTTAAATTGGAAAAATAAATGGAGTCACAGTAAACCTGTGGTTTCACTGAAACATAGGTTCAGTTTTCTACTGATAGGGAACTCATGTACCAAGACAATTTTGATTTTATTTTGTACTTACAGACTTTACCTCTGATATCAATTCATTTATTATGAATACATTTATTTATTTATGATTGTATTGATCAAAAAATAAACTTAACAAAAAATAAGCACAGATTCACTTGGCATTAATGGAAAAACAAACTTCTGTTTTAGATGGTACGTGCAAGATTTAGCCAGGTGCTCTACAACTCTTGACAGTTTATTATGAAGGCAAGACTGAAGGAGGTCAGATATATACGAAAGGTAATTTCTCCAGGAGCAGAAGGAGCAGAAAGAGCAAAAGCCTCACTCAGAAAGGAGTTCATAACGTTGAAATAGAAAGAGATGAATGTTAGGGATGAAATTTGGTGGTGCCCACCTAAAAGTCATCCAGAGGAGAGGGTGTTCTGGCTTAGGGACTTCAAGTTCATCACTGTTATGGAATTGGATCTTTTTTAGCCATTTCACATTAAAAAACCTTTTGATTGTAATTAGTTGTTTTTCTATAGAAACAAATGTACATATCAAGTGGGCCATAGGTTAAGTCTTTTGACAGTTTTAATTTCTCAATATAAGCAATATTGGCATTTTAGTTTCTTTAGTAGTTGCTTATGAGTTTTATGAGTTTAAGTTCATCCCTGAGAGAATGGTCACGTGCTGCTGAGTCAGCGAAGCCAAGACTGAGATTTTGCTTTATGGTTTGTTTACCAGAGTCCTTGTTACTTAGGGATTTCTTGGCAGTTTTGTCTTTTTTCTTGTCACAGCAGACATATTATTTATATATATATACTTTGTCTTTTTTAATTTAAATTTTCAGAAAACATTTTTGAAAAATATATAAAGTCTTAACTGGTTTTTATAAATGAGCACATTAAGAATTAAATTACTTGCTTGGGATTCTTTAACTTCTATAAAATTAAGTCTTTACAGTGAAATGTTAAAAGGGACTTTGAATATGTGCTTATGATTTGAAAAAGAAAAAGTAAAAATTTGAATAATAACATGTTTTGAATAACTGATTTATTGCTTTTTAATTTTTTATTTAGTTCACAAAAAAGTATGTAAAGATCCCATTTCAAGGTAAGTTACCATTCTATTGTGACCTTGTCTTTTCATCGTAATTTTGACTATAAAATAATTGGTCAGTAAAACTTCTAAAATCCTTTTGCAACCAGTTTTCCATAATTTTTTTTCAGTATAGAATTTAAAACTAAGTTTAGTAGTGTTTCATCTTAACATTTTTTAGCAGCTCCGAAGGGAGTTAAAATGTTTTATAATAGACCAGTATTGAAAATAATAATAGACCACTATTATTTTGATGACTCTCAGTTAAACAATATTAAAGGATTCTTGGTGATTTTTTTCAGACTAACAACTTTGGTAGATAGCAAGAATATTAGTAGATAGCAAAAATATTTTGGTATATATAAAAATGGATGAAAATAGTAACTATAAGGAAAGAAGCATAAGAAAAATGTCTAATATTACACACATATTAAAGTGTTTTAACGTATAGACTAGGAGAAATTTTTGTATCATTTCTCATCTGAGTAAGAAAATGTACGTGCTAGGCAGTGCCTGTGGCTCTGTGGGTAGGCCACCAGCCCCATATACCAAGGGTTGCGGGTTTGAACCTGGCTCCGACCAAACTGCAACAAAAAATAGCCAGGCGTTGTGGCAGGCGCCTGTGGTCCTAGCTACTTGGGAGGCTGAGGCAAGAGAATTGCCTAAGCCCAAGAGCTGGAGGTTGCTGTGAGCTGTGATGCCACGGCAATCTACCGAGGGTGATAAAGTGAGACTCTTGTCTCTACTAAAAAAAAAAAAAGAAAGAAAAGAAAATGTACATGCAACTTACAAGACCCAGACCATTTTCTTACTCTCATTTCAACTAAAAATCTTCCAGAATAAGAAATGATACTAAGAAAAAAAAATAATAGAGAATAATCTCCTTGGATAACGAATTATGAAAAGAATAAGGAGAAAAACATAAATAACACTTTAGCTATGAACTAGAGAAGAGGAGGCTTTTGTTTCAAGATTGAAGATGTGATCAGAGTAACTTTAATTGAATTCTCCAGATACCTCATAGAAAGAATCCAAAACTAAGTTATGATAATGATTCTAGTGATTGTATTATCACATATGTAGTAAGATTATAAAGCACAGAATAAGCATCTTGATAGTTGTAAATATTAATAAATTTGTAATAATAGTAAATAATAATTTATTAAGGATTAACATAATATTAGCTATTTAGAAGAAACAAAAGGACACGTGATTTTAAAAGAAATAATTTCAGAAATGATAATGGTGTAATATATAGTTAAGGACCTACATAACAGAGAGAGAGCTACCTCTCAAATTCTTGTGATGTAGATGTCAAAAATAATATTTTAGGTTTTCATAGTTAGTATTTGTACTTTTTTCAAATATTGTTCTCTTACTTATGATTTTTTAATCCCATAAGATTTTAAAAGAAAATTTTAAATACTAATTATGGAAAAATAGTCTTTTTAGTGATAATAGGTTTGTAGTTATATCATGAAGAAGAAAATCTTCTTCTCTAAATCATTTCCATATGCAGTATGTTTTTAAACCAAGGCATGTGTATAAAAGGTTTTATAGGTGGGAGCCTAGAAGTCTAAATCTTTACTCCTTTTCTATGCAGCTGAGGGAAAATATTAAATTTTCAAATTAGCTATTAATTATGTTGGTTGTCAGTAACAGTTGCTTAAAGAAAACAGTTTATTTTGACTTCATATAGAAGAAATCTAGAGGCATGCTGAACTGATAAGGTTCATCCTTGGTGATCAGGGCCCAGGGTCTTTTAGTTTTCTACTCTACCATCCCTAACACATGAATTGCACCCTCAAGTTTGTCTCATAGCTGTTGTGGCTGCTAACTCCATCATCATGTTAGCATATCAGGCATAAAGAGGAGGAAGGGGAAAATGGTGGAAAGATCACATGCTACCTATTTCATGCCCTTTTTAAGGAACCGTTTCGGATGTGCATGCCACCAGACTTCTGCTTATGTTTGTTAGCTAACTAGTCATATGATCACTCACCTATTTGCAAAGAAAGATAGGAAATAGAGTTCTTAAAAGCTGAGTATCTTGCTTCCCTTAATAAAATTAGGGTTCTCTTACTAAGGAGAGAGTGGGTAAGCAAGTTCTGCTTTCAGCTAGCTGCTGTATCTCTGAAACAGAATTGACCACATATTGATGGAAGATTTGGTTAATGAGGTGTACATTTTTCTCATGATGGTATTGAATTCCTTTTTTTAAGAAGAGAAACTTTAAATCAGTGTTCCTTAAGAAACTTTAGCTTTCAGTTCAAAAGTTTGGAATAATTAGGCTGCTGTAAGCTATATGAGGAGGAAAGGCTGAGCAGATTTTTCTAAGGCTTCTCCTATTGTCTTTTAATTTAATCTGCTTGTTTTTGTTGCCAGTTTACTGATAGTTTTCAGATTGGGAAAGTTATTAAAGACAAGAATGGCTGGTTTAGGAACATTAAGATGACTGGTTATTTGATGCTCATTATAAAATGATTTCATACTTTAATATTCATACTCATGTGAATCCTAGGGGTGGGGATGGACTGTTAAACAGAGATTTTGATTCAGTAGATTTAGGCTGGGGTCTGATATTCTGCATTTCTGCCAAGCTTCGTGGTAATGCCAGTATCACAGGCTAGGGACCCACACTTTGAATAGCACAGTGCCAGGCAGGCAAGAGGCAAGGATAAGGCAGGGAGGAGTACTGAGAGATTTTTTCAAATAGGCACCCATATTGGGCTTATACTTAACTGATATACCTGCATTCCTGGTTTAGCTGCTTGCTTTCTTAAAGTTGAACTAGATGACTTTCAGGACTTCTTTAAATCAGTTTTCTATGTTTCTTTGAATTTAAAAAAAAAATGCCTTCAGAAGAGATTTCCTTTGGCTCACTAAGAGGGAGAAAGACTAATAATTTAGAATGATTACCTAGAAGTTTTGAGAAATAAAACCTGTAAGAATTTTAAAAGAAATACCTTCATAGACCAATCAGAACTTCATATTATTCTTGAGACTCTTTTGACAGTGGCTCATCTGTACATGTATAGTGGATTGTAAATGTTTTGGGAGAAGAAAGATGGACAGAAATTGGCTTAAGATAGTATTTGGAGTCTTACTTAATAGTATTGATCAAGATAGAAAAGATGGAAATACATAATTTTTAAGGTTTTTGTGTACTTTACTTTCTGCATTGGTAGACTGCTTTTTTTCTTTTGCTAGTGATTTCAAAATTCCCATTGAGAAATCTGTCTAGACAAGGTTTTTATGCGATGGGTATTTAAACTAAAATTTATCTTTTTGGGATATAACTGAAATGATACACTATGAAAGACTAAATCTCTAATTATTATTTAGTAATTACTTAGCCCTTCCTAATTGTAATGTGATTTCTCTTTTTACTCTAATAATACTGCTTGGGGTATTTTAGCTAAGTTTAGTGAAGTACATTATAATTTATATTATTTTTTAAAAACTTTGTGTATAATTCTTTTAAAAAATATATAATATATTAAGAAGTGTCATATAGTGCTTAGATGCTCTATTATTAAATAGATTAATTTTTAAATTGTTATCTTTTATTTGTTTCAGTATCCCTGAATGAGGTTTCTTTGCTAGTGGATACCACACATTTAAAGAGGTTCGGGTTGTGGAAAAGTAAGGATGATGATCACAATAAAAGGAGTTCTGCTATCCTTTTCCTCTGGGTTGCTCCAAATTATCTTCAGGAGATTCAGACCCAATTAGAAAACTCTATATTAAGCCAGCAGTGTGAGTATAAAATGAATAATAATAAATAATTATAATTATTTCAGTGAATTGAAATTGATTTCATTGAATTAGAAATAATTCTGTTAATATATTATATAAATTATTGCTCACATAATTTCTGATAATTTTATTCAAGCGAAATTATCTGCTAAAATAAAAATAATACCTTAAAGAAATTTTAAATGTTGTTTACCTTGAAAATAAAAAAGTTCCTATACTATAAAATAAAGTAATGCTTTATCTTTTAGTCAGTTGTCATCCTTGACAACCTGATGGGTTTCTGGACATTGTTTCATAATGAACTGCTACAGAGTTGATCAGTAACAAATTTCTTATATATAATTTCTCAAAGACTGGGTTGAATAATTTTCTGTATGTGCCTATAGCACTTATTTACGTAATATGCATCTTGAGATATTTTCTAACTTTGTTTAAAACAGTTTCCAAATCGTAAAGGAATTTGGTTTAGAATTAGGTAAATCACATTAGTAAGGTTCTTACCTCTTTTTTTTTTTTTTCTTTTTTGAGACAGGGTCTTGCTCTGTCACTTGGCTAGAGTGTAGTGGCATCACTGCAACCTTAAACTCCTTGGCTTAAGTGATCCTCCTGCCTCAGCCCCAAGTAGCTGCGAATATAGTCAAATGTCACTATACCTGGCTGATTTTTTTGTTTTATAGAGTCAAGCCTCACTCTTGCTTAGGCTGGTCTCCAACTCCTGGCCTCAAGCAATCTTCCTGCTTCAGCCTCTCCGAGTGCTATGATTATAGGCATGAGTTGCCATGGCTTACCCCTTTCTCTTTGATCTCTCTGCCTTCTTCCTCCTAACCTCTTGCACATTAAAGATGTTAAGTAATGAAGTAACATCTATATTTAAATTTAGTTTGTTTTCCTATCCTTATGATTTTTATTAGGAAAATTTATGACTAAATAGCAGAGAAATTGGGGAAAATATAATGAGCCATTTATAATCATTATGGGGGAAGAGACTGTCTTTTGAGACCACCATTAACCACCATTAAAATGGTTGAGGGAAGAAAATGTAGAAAGTATTTGATTGGAATACTTGCTTAGTTGATAGATTTGATCAGTAGAGGAGGCTAGAGAAAAATAACTAATGGCTTAATTATTATTCATCCATTTATAAATTAATTAACAAATGTTTACTAGCATTTACTAAATGCCAGGCATTGGCGATAACAACAATCAATCTCTTTGTGGAATTTCCATTTTAGTTTAGTAGAACAGGTGTCTAAAAATTGTGAGTTTTAGTTCTCGGTTACTAATGCCCTATTTTAGGATTTTAAATTGCCTGGGTTTTTAACCTAACATACAAAATACTTAGGGTTATTTATCAACCTGACAGTAATTAGTAATTAAATTATTGTAATTATTATCCCCTTAAAAATAGTATTGATAATTTTTTTTCTTTTATAGCAAAATCCAGTGAATTCATTTTCCTTGAGCTACACAATCCTATTTCACAAAGAGAAGAATTGAAATTGAAAGATATTATGATGGAAATAAGTGCAACCAATGGAGAATTAGAGCTTTCTTATCCATTGTCTTGGGTTCAGGCACTTCCTTTGTTTCAGAGCCTCTCTTCAAAAGAAAGTTCTTTTATTCATTATTACTGTGTTCCAACTCATTCTTTTTCTGCTCCTGCTGCTGCTATTGAAGAAATGAAGATGAAATCAGTATCTCAGGTTAGCATATGATTATTATAATTGGGAAGGGGTGAGGGGGTTCAGTGACAATTCTTTAATTGATATTAGGCTGATTTCAAAATGTGTTTTGTTAAAAGGGCACAGGGACCAGCCTGAAAGAAAGCCCAGAGTCAAAGGTGAAAGAGTTTGTTCACCAACATCAATAATGATAACATGGGATTATAACCAAAGAATAAAATAAATATCTTTGAGTCTCTGTTGATATAACTTGATAACTGAATTAATGAATAAATTATTAAATAATAAATGGTGGATAAGGGACAATTGTTTATTGAAAAAGAATGCAATTAATAAATGTAAAAGGAGTAAAGGAAATACACAACCACCATTAAGATACTATATTTGTGATTGTTACAAAGTCCACTGATGGATGTCAAATTTAATGGTTGAAAATTTAGGAAGAAAGAAAATATGTACATATTCTTAAAGTCTCTAGCCCCAAATAGTTATTAAGTACAAAAAGAAAAGTAGTGGGTCAGGCACTGTGGCTCATACCTTTAATCCTGGCACTTTGGGAGGCCAAGGTGGGCAGATTGCTTGAGCTCACGAGTTCAAGACCAGCATGAGCAAGAGCAAGACCCTGGCTCTAAAAATATAGCCAGGTATTGTGGCAGGCACTTGTAGTCCCATCTACTCCGAAGGCTGAG